TTATATAACAGGATGAACAGGAACAATTAGCAAACAAAAAGAGAGCAGAATTTTAAAGAATTCTGAGTGAATAGAAGGTCCCATATAAATGACACAGTAGAAATAAATAGATCAGAACTTATTAGCCTTAATTAAGAATGTCAAAATACTAAAATTACTAAAGATAAAAAGAAACGTGATGTTTTAGTCAGAGTTCTCTAGAGAAACAGAAACAGGGTGATGAATATATGTATATATTGGAATTTAATAATTCCCACACTAACTGTCTCTCAGTGCCGGGCGCGGGAGAGGGGGGCGACAACCAGTAGTTTCTCAGTCCACAAGGCAGGTGGGATCCCTCAGAAGTCCCACAGCAGGAAGGTTCCTGAGAGCTGGTGGTCCCTAGTCCAAAATGCAATCTCACTCGAAAACACTGGTTCTAATATGAGCAAAGAGGCAACAACCGGATAAATCAACTCAGCGGCAGGAGAGAAGACCAGTCCGGCAAGGGATGAGATGATCTTCCTTCCGAAATACCCTTCTCCTCTGGGCTGCTGCCCCAATTGGCGTGGGGCTTCCCACATCAGTCAAGGTAGCCAGGACAGTTCTTTAGCTGTGGCTCCCTACTCGGATGATTCCAATTTGTGGCAAATTGATGTTGAACCCAACCATAATAGAAGGAAAAGGCAGTTTGGGACTCAGAGACTGACTTAGATGCCAAGCACAAAGCAAATAAATCTGTCATAACTCCAACTAGACGAGAAGTGAGGCAGCAAACGCAGCAAGATTTAGTTTAATTTTTCCCATGACACAAAGAATTTCCTTAGGATGTTTCAAACACAGCACAGTGAACGTCTAAGCTGAATTACTAATACATGCTGCTAACTATTGTTCAATTTTTAAATAACAACTAATTATTAGAAATAAATCACTACCATTTTCTTCTGATTTTTGGGTAAGTTTGGGAATTGCAAAAACCCGAAGCAACATTATCACTCAGAATTACGATTAACTTGAACAAATGCCAGGGAAGAGTTGTGTTTGAACACTAGTTGCTCAGCACTAAGTACCCAATTTAGTGATTGATTAAATGGCTCTCATTTTTCACCTCTTCCCATGCCTGTGTTCTAGGGGGTTTTCACAGAACCTTTGGCTTTGGGGCCTCCTCAATTCTGAGTTAGAATTGCTTCTGCCAATTTGTATAAAAATTATGGAAGCAGCAGGGTGGGGAATGCTCTCAGTCTCAGCTCTTGCTCTCCCTCTCCATGCCTGCATCGAGAATGCTCCAGACTGAGACTGCTGGAGGATGAAGTAGGTTAGCTAGAGTTGAGTATTTATAGCTTCTGGACTACCGGATGATTGATCTCAGACATGACTGAACTCTGTCAGTCCTATAACTGTTTAGCAGAACCCACTTGAAACTATCATTCCCCACATTATTGGCAAACTGACACAAAGACTTGGGGTTAAGAGCAGTGAAAGAGATTATTTTGACAGAGTGTACCATTAAGGGGATGGGGAGAAATCTGCAGCTATGGAAAACCCCAGGAACTCATGAGATTGTTCCCAGCTAAGACTCATAGCAATGGCGGAGAGGGTTTTTGAACTAGCCTTCCCCTCCACTCAGATTGGTATTTACCCTAATTGTCATCATAGAACCTATATCCAGTGACTGATGGAAGCAGATGCAGAGACCCACAGCCAAGCACTTGGCCAAGATCCTGGAGTTCAGTTGAAGAGAGGGAGGAAGGATTATAAGAGCAAGGGGGGAGGGGGTCAGGATCATGATGGGAAAAACCACAGAAATAGTTGACCCAAGCTAGTGGAAGCTCATGGACTCTGGACTGACATCTGGGGAGCCTGCATGTGACAGAACCAAGCCGTCTGAATGTGGGTGAAAGTTGTGTGGCTTGATGTGTTTGTGGGTCCCCTGGCAATGGGATCAGGACTTACCCTGGGTACAAGAACTGGCTTTTTAGACCCCATTCCCTATGGTGCAATGCCTTACTCAGCCTTGATGCAGGAAAGAGGGGGTAGGTCTAGGCCCAACATGGTATAACAGCCTATATTGACTACCCAAGGGAGGCCTTACTCTGTATTAGGAGGGATTGGGGGTGGGATAAGAGTAGGTGGAGAGAGCAGGAGAAGAGGAGGGAGGGGGAATGGGTTGGTATGTAAAAGGAAAGAAATTCTCTTTTTTAAATAAAAAATTATATATATATATAAAATTTTTTATTTAAAAAATATATATAATAAAGACTTGGGATTATGCGCCATTACTGTCCAATAGCTAACTCGGCAGCAGAAAATATGTATGCTTCACTGAATAGTGTGTGCCGTGGCTGGGAGGATGCAACACACTGTATTCAACAGCAAAAGGCAGGGCCTCCATGGTGTCACAGCTCTAGATCTTATCTCTAAGTCCAATTGAAATGAAGTCTTTCTGTCTCTTTCTCCCCCTTCCTTCTTACACACACACACACACACACACACACACACACACACACACACACACATACACACCTTGTCCCTCAGATTAGAAAAGTTTGTGAATATAAGCTTTAGGCAGAGAGAAACGTAAAAATTAAGAACTGCTGTTAAGAACTGGACAAGTCTCTGTGGATGGGCTCTTTATGGGTCTAACCCTGGATAGAGAACTTTTTGCCTTAATTTTTTTTGTTTGTTTTTTGAGACAGGGTTTCTCTGTGTAGTTTTGGTGCCTGTGCTTAATCTTGCTCTGTAGACCAGGCTGGCCTTGAACTCACAGAGATCTGCCTGGCTCTGCCTCCCGAGTACTGGGATTAAAGGTGTGCACCACCGCCGCCCGGCTTTGCCTCCATTTTTTAGCTCTGAAACAGGAAACTGATGGCCACCTGACACATTTGTAGGGAAAGTATCAGCTTTAGTAACTACAATAATGGTTTCACTGTTGCATTTTCATAGTGCATATAATGTACTTTGATCATATTTACCAACTTTTCCAATTTTACCCTCTGACTTTCCCACCAGTTTCCTTCTTCCCAAATAGTTTCCCATATATGTGTATGTGTTCCTCATCTATCTGTCTATCTATCTATCTATCTATCTATCTATCTATCTATCTATCTATCTATCTTTCTGTCTGTCTGTCTGTCTGTCTATCTATCTATCTATCTATCTATTCTGCATATGAGAGAAAACAGGCAGTTTTTGTCATTTTGAGTCCGGCTTACTGCAAGAGATTCAGATTTTTATGAAGGAAAAAACATGAGAAAGCTACTTAATAAATCTTACGTGAATAAAAATATGTGCATACATGCATTTGTGCATAGGCATGCCTACTCAAGTGATTTTTTTTTTCCCCTGAGAAGTCATGGTAGTTCATGCTGTCTTTCTTCTAATGGTTGGGATGTTTTGGCTTGTAATGTAATTCTATATTTATGGAATTATAAACAATTCTAGGTCTACAGCACAAAAATTGTTCATAGAAATTCAGGATTACTAACATCTTTTTTTTTTAACCATATAAATGAAAAGCATTAAAAAATGACCAGGTTGAGGTATGTGGAATCATATTGCTCCTGAGATGTGAGGAAACAGATTTCATTTTGTTCTAACTCATATTGACCAAATGGAAACATATGAGTAATTAATAGAATTATCAGTGGCCACATGAATTGATAGTGGAAGTCAGAATGTAAAAGATCCAAACATTTTCTTTGATCCTGCCCTTAATTCATGCCCACTGGTGCACAGGAAAGAGAGAGCTCCCCATTTCGATAATGTCAGTTTGAAGTATAACTGTCTGTATTTTGGGATAAGGGGAGGTTCTTAATTAAAAGTTTAGGAATTCCTTATATCTTCTAAGATTTTACGATATTTTAATGACCTGGGCTTGGTTCTTAACTTCCAACTTTGAGCCATAGTTGCTCCAGCCCTTTTATCTACATTAGTACAGGGCCATTATGTCTATGAAGAACAAGGTCTTTGCATTTTGGCAGGCTCTTTGACACAATTGCCATAGGACAAAATTGCTACTGGATAGTGTGTTAAGCAGTTGAATGTCAGCCTGGGAAAAGAGTGTACAATTAATGATTTACGGAAGGAGACCTGTGTGTTTAAACAAAGAAACAAAGGAAATTGACTCATAGCATGAACACCTTCAGCTATATTGAATGTAAAATTGGAACCATGCAGAAAAAAATAACCAGAGGTTGTTTTGTTTATTTTACTCAAAACTTAAGCACTTAATGCGGATACTCTCCAAGGGGAAAACATTTGGTGGAGACCCCTAGTTTCCTCCCTCCAAATACGGGCATGGGGAAGACAGGATGTTCTTAGCCCAGGATCGAAGGATAAATAAAACAAAGAAAAACAGTAAAATAAGGTAAAAGAGAGATTACAAAAATGAATAAATAAGCAATGAAAAAGAGAGAAAGAAAAAAGTGAACACAGAAATACAAACAACCCACCCCAAAATACAAAAAGCAACAAAAAAGAAAAAAGTGAAATAAAAGCGAAAAGAACATGACGACAAAAGAGTCAATGTGTAGCGAGAGAATTCTGCTTTGGCAAACTCAGCAGCCTCCCTCTGAAGGCGGAAGCAGAGCCAACAGACCGCTTAGCACTTGGGAGCTTGGAGAACTTTCTCCATCTGTTTATTAGTTTGCATTATTAGTATGTATTTATTCAGGCTTTTGAGACGTGATCTCACTGTATATCCCAGTCTTAAAATTCACTATGTAGCCCAGGGTAGCCCTGAACCCGTGCTCTTCCTGTCTAGTTTCCCAAGTACTGGGACTTTGTGTATGCCACCAAACCTGACTCTCCATTTATCTGTGGAGCTTGTCAGGTATATTTGTCATGTCTAGCCTTCCTGTAAGCTGATTTTGCCTCACCAACTTTCAGCCACACTCCGTCATGCTTCTATGTACAACGGAAATAAGGTCACAGACGCCCTTGTTTGAAACCCGAAGCAGGACCTTGCTTGGGGCCCAGCTGTGAGTTTGGATAGAGGCTTTGGGCATGTGCAGAGCACTGTGCACCTGCGGCACAGAAGTACATTGCTGAGTCTCCGGGCTGAGAGGCTGCAATGTGCAGTGAGAAATGTTTGCCGCTTTTGCTGAAGAAGATTGTGAATCTTCCATCTTCATTCTTATCCACATTTGAACGGAGAGATATCAGGAATGTAGGGCTGTTGGCAGGATACTTTTTGTACCAAGCAAAATAGTCAAACATATTATTATTGTAGTCACAATTCAGGATAGAAATCCCTCCTTCTTGAACAGTCAGAGATGGAGAATTTTGCTTAACCTGCTGGCCATCATTCTTCTCTTGACTCTTTACCCCTGTTTGGAAAGAGAGTTATGGGTTTAAAATTTTCTTAATGTTCCTGCAAAACAAAGCAAAAATCTCCCAATCATCTCATTTCCTTGCAGCAGTCCTTAGTGATTGCCTACCACTTCAAACACCCTCTCTGCAACTTACATTCTGGCAGAAGCCACAGAACCAACAGCACGGCTCCACAGAGGTTGGCCATTCCTTCTCTGAAGATTTGAGGTGTCTCGTCTTCTACTCAGATGGCTGCAGCTCTGACTTCTTCCTCTACTGACTTCATTTCCTTTTCCTTTTACCTGTGAATAGCCCCATTCTTAAGCGAAGTTAGTCATCTTTGCTAAAGAAAGCACTGCCCCCTCTAGACTAAATGTAGAAAACTTCTGAAAATATATTTCTGACTTCCTCAAGTTCAATTGCCATGTTTTCCCCATCAAAAGTAAAAATGGGGATCAGAAGAGACAAGGAGACCTTCAGAGTTCAAGTGGTGTGTGTGTGTGTGTGTGTGTGTATGTGTGTTGAAATGGTAGAAAATGAACCTGAAAATGTAAATAATTGTATCATGTCAAATGATTGGCATATTGCCAGGTTATAAACTTATGCAGATACCTTTTTAAAAATATTACAAAGATATGGTTCTCATTGGGACTATGTAACAATATAATGTTCTCCTTAATAAAACTATTGCACATTTAGAACACAGGATGTTCAGTCATTTTTGTCTTTAATGAAATTGAATCCTAGCATGCTCTTCAAATGTGTCGATTTTTTTCTCCTGGTTAAATAAATGTCACAAGATAATTAAATTGGATTTAAATTGTAGATGGTTTCTTAAAGAACACATGTGAACGCACAAAATCTATCCTTTGCGTTTACTCACAGCTGGGTTATCCATCTTGGAACCTGGATGAAATTAGCCAGTGTTCTCTCTGTTTTCCTGCAGAGGCTGGGCACAACACTAAACCTTTGTCTTCAAAGTCAGAAGATGCCAGAGGAAACACGTTTGCTACAGTCTTGGCCACGTGTAGTCCATTTCTTCAGCTTAATAAAAGGAGAAGCAGGACAATTGTATTTTAATACCATGTCTGTAGGGTAATGAACGGTCACAACTAATTGCAAATTCCAAGATGTTTGTCTAGAATTAGTTTTAAGAAAACACACATAGCAAAATATGTCAGTTATCTATTGCACTGTGGTAAAATGTTTTATTTTTAAGTGTTAATGATAAGCTAATAGCTTGAAAGTCACACTACTAAACCTATTTATGGTATCTAGTGTGTCACCCATGCTCCATATTAATATTTCAACTCATATAAATCAGGTTTACTAGTGAAGAAGGTTTCTTTTTGAAAAAATATTTATTTTATTTTTATTTATGCATGTGTGTGTCTTTGTATGGGTATGTGTGCATGTGTGTGCAGGTAACTGTGGAGCCAGATGAGGGTTTCAGATCCTCTGTAGCTGGAGTTACAGGTGTTGGTGAGCTGCTTGATATGAATTCTGGGAAATGAACTGGGCTTCTCTACAAGAGCAGTAAGCTCTCTTTAGCATGGAGCCATCTCTTCAGTCCCAAGTGAAGAAACTTTCACTGATTTGCTTGTGACTTGGAGTAGTCAATTAACAGTTTCTAAAAGGTACTTGGTACAGAACTTGATGTTTATTAAAAGCAAACAGTGGTAAGTGGTTTAATTCCACTGAGAAGATTTGCAGTGTGGAGCCAGGCAATAGCTCAGAAAGCTGGAGCAATTCTTTAACTTGAGCAGACTAGAGGACATTGTCTATGGTTATGCAAGAAAAGGACATTTCTGGCCATTTCAAAGCAAATCAAACAGCCAGAGTGCTTTAAAAATCTACTCAATCCATTATGGCGGTAGTTTAGGATTTATGTATAGTAAGTTTATAAGCTGATATTAGAAAGAACAGACACACAGAAGTCATGAGCTTTGTATTAGAAGCCAGGAAGGCTGGACTCGCAGACCTACTTGGGAGCCTGGGGTAACAGTGTGTGTAGTACTCTTTCTTACCTGGCCTTGTCTACAGATGGGAGGAGAGAAGCTTTGTCACCTTGATGCTTTCTTCTCAGGTGTGTCTCAGGAGGAAGGAAAGACTTGCACAGGCTAGTAGGAGGGGAAGGTCAAGGAGGCCATGGCAGAAGCAATTGAACAGCATGGAGCAGCCTGCAGCCAGTGAGGCAGAGGCATGGTGTTTTGGCTGAGTCACTGCTAAGGAGATTGTACTGCTCTGAGATATCAGTGCTGAAACAACAAGAGGCGGGCTTTTTGTTTGTTTGTTCGTTTTCTGCCTATAACTTTAATTTTTAAAAAGTTTAAATAGGATTACAACATTGCACCCACCCTCTCCATTGGTTATGCTCCACAACATTACAGTAAGGACCTGTGAAGATGTACATACTTATGGAGTAACTCACACTCAACCAGAAGCTTCACCACTACTGAACAGCATTCATACTGCTGGAAGTTACTAAACTGGCTACCATAAGGGGAAAAGCAATCATCAATATCACCCCTCCCGCACCCCTGGCTACAAACTCTGTGATCTATAGCAGAGATACACTGGTGCAATAGTGGCATAAATATGAAATTATCCAATCTCCTTTTGATTAGATGTAAGTAAGACCCACTCTAGGACATGGAACCCATATCTGACACTGCTAATGAGGCTGAGAACCTGAGACTTGATAGGTCATGGACCCAAGGGGAAAACCTACTATTGTTCTGCTAAATGAATAGAGCAATAAAATGACTCCTGATGATGTATTCTGTAGCTATAGATCAGTGCTTCACTCACCCTCATCCTGGGAATTAACATAGAGACCCACAACTGGACAATGTGTGCACAAGATCTTGGAGGACTCAGTCCTAAACGGGTTGTCTATATTAAACCCCTCCCCTCAAGACTCAGAGATCTATGCAGAATAAAAGTCAGAAAGATGATAAGAGCCAGAGGTGGTGGATGACTCCAAGGAAACAGTGTCTTCCAGACACAACAGGGATGCTGTCCATATGAATTCACAGAGGCTGTGACAGGATGCCTAAGGCCTGCACAAATTCAAGTTGGATAAAATCCCAGCATGCAGAAGGGGAACTAAGAAGCTATTTGCAATTAATGCCTGCTAAAAAATTACTTTTCTCCAGTGGAGTGATGTCACTGCTCCAGTTGGCAGGGGGGCCTGGGAGAATGAAGCCAATAGAGGAGGTAGATTAGGGTCTCACGCAATAGCCAAGTTTATTCAAAGTGTCAGACAATTTATGCTTTGAGGGTAAACAGGAGTCACATGAGTGAAGTGTGCAATCGCAAGGGCAAACCGCACATGGCGGGGAAGCCACAGAGTGGCAGAAACATGTTTTTCCATAGAAATGTATAAACCAACAACAATAGCCAGTTGTAACGCATAATTGGAAGTAAACTTGCTCCTACCCACTACACCTGGGAGAGGCACCAAAACACATTCCAAGAATAATTCCGCGTTTTGAAGAAACTGAGGTCACAAGACTCTTGTTTTCTTGGCGCTTTCTCACAAGCACCCAGAATTCTTCTGACACAGCTCCATCTTCAGACCATTTCTGACAGAGTGACACTTGGTATATCAACCACAGTCTGGGGTAGACCTCATCTCAGGAATAGTTGGCCAACACAGAGTGGACTCCGTACGGTTTTGTGTGCTTTCTTTTGTTATGGTTTGAAGTTTTTATGGTTTTTTTCGGTGGGGAGGAGAAAGAAAGCTCATGAATTTAGGTGGGTAGGACCTAGGAGGAACTAGGGGAGGAGAAAGAATGTGATCAAAAATATATTGTATGGAAATATAGAGAACTAAATAAAAATATAATTACACCATTCCCCCCTTTCCTCCCTCCTACCCTCCTCAGGTCTGCCTTCCCCCAAACTCACAGCCTCTTCTTTAACCATTGTTGCTACATATATAGGTAAATGAATAAACATGTAAATGTAACCCTGCTGTGTAACACGAATCTTAAAAGGTCTTATAACAACAACAACAACAACAAAACAACCTGGAGCCAAATATTGGGGTGAAAGCTGAAAGATCAGAGAAGCAGAACAAGCCAGCCACAAGCCAGCCACAAGTTCTTACCTCTAGAAAATCCTCAGTCTAGAGAGAGAGAGAGAGAGAGAGAGAGAGAGATCCTGTTTCCTCACACCTTATATACCTTTCTGTGTCCTGCCATATTACATCCTGGGATTAAAGGCGTGTGTCACCACTGCCTGGTACTGTTTCTCTCATGTAGCCCAGTGTGGCCTAGAACTCACAGAAATCCAGATGGAACGCTGTCTCTCGAGTGATAGAATTAAAGGTGTGTGCCACCACTGCCTGACCTCTATGTCTAATCTAGTGGCTGACTCTGTCCTCTGATCCCCAGGTAAGCATTATTGGGGTACACAATGTATCACCACACTGCTGAGCTTGTTCAGTGTTGCCTTCATGTACGTGTTTCCACGGCAGACCCTGGGTCAGTATTATGTGCACTCAATATTGCGAAACCATCCAGGGGCTCATCCCTGAGGAAGACTAATGTCCCCGCTCAGCAGTTGTTAATTGTGAGTAGCTCTTCATCTAGGGTTGGGGCCTTGTGAGATTCCCCCATCTATACTGGGACATCAACTCGTGTTGGCATTGCTCAAGTTTTGTTTATGTAACCGTGTTGTTGGAATTCCATGAGTGTAGTAGTTTCCCTGTCATAGCTAGAAGGCACAATCCCACAACAAACCTTGGCTCTCAGAATATTTCCTCCCCCTTTTCCACAATGTTCCCTGAGCCTTGAGTGCAGGAATTATGTTGCAGATATATCAATCGGAACTGGGTATCACACGGTCAGTTGTTCTCTGCATTTTGACCAGTCGTAGTTTTCTGTAATAATCTCTGTCTGCTGGGAGGAAAAAAAAAAAAAAAAGCTTCTTTGATAAGGAGTGAGATCACACTTATCTGCAAGCATAAAGATACCTGTTCAATATGTAGTAAGGAATTGCACTGGTTTAGGAAGGTGACAGTATCGATATGTTACTAAAATGGTGAAAAAGCACATCATAGAACTACTAGAATGAGATAGAACTTTCATTCTTGCTGAGTGTTTGTTAGAAGAGCTGTTAATTGCACAGCCACATAAGATCAGGAGACTTCATTTTAGGAGGTGGAAAAATTCTGAGATAGACTTATGAAGGCTGACTTTT